CAGCATCCCTGGCCTCTACCTCCTAGATGCTAGCATCACCACCCTCCCTCAGTTACAGCAACCAAAAGTGTCAGGCATTGCCAAATGTCCCGGGCGGGGGGAGGTCACCACCCCTCCCACCCCCACCGTTTGAAAAGCCCCACTCTACAGGAATCAGAACCAGGAGTCACTTGTACAGGTGTGTCTGCTCCAGCCAAATGGGTAGAAAGAAGAGCTGGCACAGGAGCTGTCTTCTCACTGACTGGCCAACGGGATTGCAGCAATATAAATACTAAAGTGAGAAGTGGAAAGGGGAGGGGAATAGCCATCAAATGATCTAAGCCTTCATACCTCTTGTAACTGCTTGGAGTTTGAAGCAAGGTGGGCAAACGGTCCATGAGGATGCCCAGATCCTTGGCTCTTGCGAACGGGACCAGCTGGGACAGGACCTCCTGATGCAGCGCAGACTCTGAGGGGCCATCGGCACTGAGAAGCCTGCTCTGCAGCTGCCTCCACAGGGCCTTCCTCAAGACAGGAGTGACAGCAGAGGACACTGGGGTGAGATACAAAGAGCAGCAGCTGCACCCAAAGGTGTGCTGGCACTGGCCCATTCCACTCCCAAGAGCTGATTGCTACATTTTCAGGAATCTTGCAAGCCGCTGGTATCACACTGGCAGCCTATCGGCCATGGTAGGAGCGTTCACACCACGGAAACTGGCAAGTGCTATAAATCAGCCTTCCCCCAGAGCCGGCTGTTAAATATTTATCAGCATGCCACCGGCTGCATCTCATCAGCCGACACTGACAGGTACTCTCCAACCCAGTCGGCCCTCGGTGTGACCCCTAGTTCATGGTATGACCATGAGTACAGTAGTCCCCCTTATCTTCCTGTGGACACTGAAACCGAGGATAGTGCCGAACCCTATATATACCGTGTTCTGTCCTGTATATACATGCCTGTGATAAAGTTTAATTTACAAGTCAGGCACAGTAACAGATTACCAACAATGACTGACGATACAGTAGAACAATTACAATAATAGACTGTATTAAAAGTTGTGTGAAAACAAAACAGAAAAAAAAATTATGTGACTGCAGTCCCCACGCAGCGGGAAGGCGTGAGATCTCATCACACTCCTCATTTAACACTTTCGGACCTCGGCCGACTGCATGTAACTGAAACCGCGGAAAGCGAAACCGCGGATAAGGGTGGGGCCACCGCACCAACGTTCTGGATGACAAGGGACCGAGTCTCCAAAGGCACGGGTTCCTAAAGAGAGGTGCACGGAGAACCACCCACTGGAAACCCACTCCTGCGGGGGGATCGCTTACTTAAAAGAAAAAAAAGTCTGTCATCGTGAGCCTCCTCAAGGGTGAACGAAAAATGAGAAAATGGATACTGGATACTGGTGACGGTTGTATAACACTATGAATACAACCAATGACACTGAACTGTGCACATGCAGAACGTAAAAATGGCAAATGTTATGTTACACACCCAAACCAAAACCTACCCCACTGCCGTCGACTCAACTCCGACTCACAGCAACCCCACAGGACGGAGGAGAACTGTCCCATAGGGTTTCCAAGGAGTGGCTGGTGGATTTGAACTGCCGACCTTTTGGATAGCAGCCAAGCTCTTAACCACTGCACCACCAGGATGCCGTGTTACATATGCATCTACCAGAGTTAAAACAAACTACAAAAGACATCTTTCATCACTGACGTGAAGCTACACAAAACAGAAACAAAGGAGTGAGTGAAAATCACTCATACATTCGATAAGAAAGAAAGAAATTGAATTTGAGGAGCTCAGAAAGTGCCTTAGATACGAAACCTGGCAGGTGGAGGAGGAGGAAGGGAGAGCCGCCTCTGCTCCTATCAGCTTCCCTAAACTTCCCCGCTGGACGGAAAAGTGAGGTAGGATGAGGGACAGATAAGCCCTGAGCGACCCCTGCCTCTGACCCTGTCCCCCAGCCCACAATGGCCCCAACAGCTGTCCATCCCCCTTCACATGAAATAACTCGGAGTTGATGGGGCCAAGGGCTACACCTCAAGACGTAAGGTCGAAGAGTCTGGAGGGCTGGGGGAGCAGTGTTGGGTCAGGATTTCTGAATCTTCAGAACTGGGTCTGACACGGAAATGGAACAAAGCCACACCCTTGGATATGAAGTTCCCATGCCTAAACAAACATGCAGTTCACCTCACCGGCCCCTTGGGGTACCCGAAGCCAGCCCGTACCTCCTGCTGGGCGTGTGAAGTGTCCCCGAGACCGGCGCTGGAGGTACACGTGGACGAGGGGCAGGAAGACGTCGAGGCCCTCCTGTAGGACCAGCCTGGAGCCGGCCTGCAGGCACCAGAGCTCGAACCGCAGCAGGTGGGTACAGCTCTGCTGAAGGAGCAGGGCCACGATGCGCAGGGCCGCTGGCGTCCGCCGGGCCAGGCAGTAGTCGAGAAGGCTGACCCCGACTGTGGGGGCCAGCTCAGGGTCCCTCTGCAGAGCGTGGAGGAACACCGTGTCCAGCTCGTCCACGGCCAGTGTGGGCAGCAATGCCCCCAGGCCCCTCACATACTCGGAGGCCCAGAGGAGCTCGCCGCTCAGTGGCTGGTCCTGGGGGCTGCTGGTCAGGAGCTGGACCAGGGTCTTCCCAAGAACGTTCAGGTGTCTGCGCTGCCCGGGGGGCTTGGCGGCCCGCTGGGTCACCAGGCAGGCCTCAGGCAGGCCCAGGAGGGCCAGGGTGACCTCGCGGAGCCGGGCACCCTCCATGTACAGATGCAGCGCCTGCAGGGCCTCCAGCTGCGGGAGGGCCTTGGGTGGCGACGTGACTGGGTCCACCCTCCTGGCTCGCAGCTCTCTCAGAACGCTCTGTGTGATGGCCTCCAAGTATCTGCCCAGCAGGCCCTGCCGCCCGATGTTCCGCAGGATCGGGGCACTCGTGACCAGCAGCTGAAGGATCCCCGCACTCAGACGGGCTGCCAGGAGCTTCACGAGAATGGGGCTGAGGGTATGCGGCGGGAGGGCCTGCTGCTCCAGCGCCAGGAACCAGCTCTCCAGTGTGGGGTGTCTGAGGATGGCTGTGAGCACCTCCTCCAGTGTCTGGAAAGAGTGAGCAAAGCAGAGATGTCGCCATGGCACCCGGGAGAGGAGCGGAGGGGACAGTAGCTGCCAGGTGAGTATCAGCTACTGCCACTGGAGAAAGAGCAAAGGCAGCTTTGCTAACCTACCACCTTCAAGCCTGGTTTAGATGCTGCACCCCAACCCCACCCCGTCACGGCTGCCATCCAGTCGTAACATGACCACACATGGCAGTGAGCAGTGTGGGGGCTGGCTGTGACCTGGTCAGAGCCCTGCAGAGCCCACGTGCAGCCGGTGCATTCACCTGAACGAGTTCACTGTGCAGCAAAGTGCTCCCCAGGGTCGCTCCCAGGAGGGGAAAGGCCAGGTGGCAAGGCCAGAATGAGACTAGGGTCAATCATCCACTGTCTTCCTCCTTAGCAGCCTTGCCCTCCTAAGTATGTCTGTGCTGTAGGCTTCTCCTGACTGGCCAGGCTGTCACAGCTTAGCACAGACTGCGTCTGGGGAAGCAGGGTTATCTACCATCCAGAACGGAGGCAACGCAGCCTCCACTTCTGGAAGAACGCCGAGCCTCGAGTGGTTCCCTGACAAACGAGTTCTGACACGGCCAAGCGGGTTTAAACCACTAAGCAGGAAGCAGCCGAGCAGCCTGGGCAGGACTAGAGAAGTTCTGCTTCAGCTGTTCCAAGCAGCCTCGCTAAACATGACTCTTAGCCAACGATGTCACACCAGTCCCCAGACCAGGAATAAATCTTCCGTCCTTATTTGTTCTTAAGGAAGGAAAGAGACGTCTGTCACACTTCCCAGCCGAGCGCTGCCAGTTTAAAAAAAGGATGTTACACAGCAGGACTGCTTGGTCCCACACGGACAGGCTAATAGCCATTCCCCTGGCAACAAGCACCACCTGTCTGTCACTCTGTCATACTGGGTGGCTGCACGCTGCTGAGATGCTGGAAGCTATGTCCCCGGTCTTTCAAAAATACCAGCAGGGTCACCCATGGTGGACACGTTTCAGGGGAGCTTTCAGACAGAGACAGACGAGGAAGAAAGGCCTGGCGATCTACTCCTGAAAATCAGCCAACAAAAACCCTATGGATCACAACAGAACACAACGGTGCTGGAAGATGAGCCCCGGGTTGGCAAGCACTGATTTAAACACCCAGGGGCTATCGCACAGCGATCACGAAGACAGCACAGAACCAGGCCGTGTTTCGTGCTGGTGTACCTGGGCTGGAGATGACCTGACGACAGCTGACGGCAAAGCCCCCAGAGCCAC